ATAATATGAATTTTCTCATCCTAACATTAACCATAAAGAGCTGTTAGAATAATTTTATAATACGAACTTTCTCATTCTAACATTAATCATAAAGAGCTGTTAGAATAATTTTATAATACGAACCTTCTCATCCTAACACTGACCATAAAGAGCTGCTAGAATGAAAACTTTCTCATCCTAATATTAATCATAAGGAGCTGTTAGAATGAACTTATACAGTAATACGAACTTTTTCATCCTAACATTAACCATAAAGAGCCGTTGGAATGATTTATAATACGAACTTTCTTATCTTAATACTAATAATAAAGAGCTGTTAGAATACGAATTTTATCTGGATAATTATCAGATATCCGGATTGGAACTTTACTAACCATAAAGAGCTGTTAGAATGAGTTTAGAATACAAACTCTATCATCTAACATTAACCGTAAAGAGCTGTTAGTTAGAATGATTATTTTGCTTTATTTACTGTATTTACTGTAAATTATAGTTCTCATGCCACACCGATATTGGCTAAAACTTACATGACTGCTGTCTTCTTTTTACATATCGTATATTATGCAAGAAAATTTTGGAAACACTGATTATTCACCATTATCCTGCCGTCGTTTAATGACGGGTCTAATATCTAATACAGTACTAATAATAAATAAAAATTTTTCTACCAGCTTCAAATTCGCGATTTTGATTGGCGATCAATGATTTTTCTGGATTGAATTCGAATCAAATTCGATTTACTCAATTCGAATTATAACCGGAATCATGAATGAGAATCTGGATTTAATCCGGATAGTCCAATATATTCACTTTTGTTTTATGATTTACAGGCAAGTTTATTTTATAAATATATAGTATATTTTATCAATATTTTATTTTACTATCAAATTTTTTACTATGATATAATTGTTATAAAATGAGCTGTTCGGTAATTTGAAATAATTGTGGTGAGTTGATCGAAACTAACTACATCTGTTATACATATTTAGCAATATAATTAATCTAACTGTAGTATATAATTAATTATTTGTTATATACTACATATAATACTAGAAATATTCCGGATGATTATATAGACTTTTAATTTATTGGTCAGCGCATTCTAATTGGCTATTATCCGGATATCCGGATGGCCATTTTTGAGCACGGATATTGTCAACGGATATTCGGATTGCGCGGATGACTATCCAGATATCCGAATTGAAATCTAGGATTCCAACACTATATAATACAAATTACTGATAAAATCAAGCTATTGTATAACTTTTTTTTTTGATATAATTAAGCATCTAACTAAGTTAGTATCGTGATTGTAAAAGCCACTATATGAATTAGCATAAGATGACATAATAATATCTCTGATATACCGCATCTAATATTACTCAGTTGGTATAAAACATTGAAGACTGTATACCGAGTATATCCAAATTAAAGACTTTTTTGATATATTAATTGAAGATTGATATAAAATGAAACATGGTGTATCATATATACTTAATTAGTGTGAACTACTGTATTTTATAAAACAATATTGATTAAAACTTGTATATTGTATATTGTATAATTTATATTATAATCACACCTCTATATAATCACGATATTTACCATGCCCAAAAATGTGATTATAAAGAAGGAAGAATATTCCGAAATATTCCAAGAAAATCAAGCTACATAAAATTTCAAGAGAAAATTAGAGCAAAGGTCGAAAGATAGTTTAATTATATTATTGTGTGCCAAATTTTTTTGCCGTGCCACGCACCCTACTGTGAACTAAGGTGTCTTCGTCTATGAAGTGAGCAGCACCAATAAAATAAATAAATAATAATAATTCTATGGAGGGTACTATAATTGAAGCGGGTATACTAATGGAATCTATTCGATCTATTCACATTTTAATCATTTGACTACAGTAATTTACGTTATAAACAAGATTTTTTACAATAAGAGCATTGTGTTAAAGGAGATATATTACTCCGCAAAATATGGTAGACTTGTTGAGTTTAGGAGATATAGAGAAAGGATGAACCTGAAGGAATGAAAAAACGGAAAAATGAAAGCTATTTCTAGTAAAGTAGTATGCAAACGTGCGAAATTTACGTTTCACACACTGATTTACAAGCATATGCTATCGTTACCTAAATTTATCATAACGCACGTACGTACGTCGGTACAACATAACATGAATGTTTAAAGAACGTAAATCTGTATAAATTTTCACAATATCGGACTTAATCCGAAGATTTGCATTCTAGATCCCAATTAAGGGTAATAGCAAATTAACGAATATCAGTTAATATATCAGAATATTTTATTTATGATTAATAAAATGAATACTGTTATTAAGTAAATTTAGGGCCCAATTCAGAGTATCTAAACAAAGGTCCATTTCCACAAATCCGTGATATTACGTAGTTTTAAATATGTATGATCAGTATTATGGTAATTTAGATATACGTAGGTACGTACGTACAGAATACAGTACACGTACGTAAGTGACGGATAGAGAAAACCTGTACTTCTTTTCATCTTATCGGACCCGTCCCCTACGGGATTAACTATTACATCATTATCCTTTTAATGAATTCAACAGTATATCATACATATTTGATCACATTTAATCATTATATGAGACGGCCGATAAGATGAAAGTAATGAGTCAATTTACATGTTCACACCCTTTCCGTTATTCATTTCAATACAATTCTTCAAGGGGGTTAAATTTGGTATTGCAAAAACTTTTGATTTGTACTTACAGATTTTCGGTTTGCAGCTGTAAAAATTGACTTAGATTTCATATGAATGCAAATTAGTTGTTAAGATAGATTAATTAAGTTAGATTAATTTCCAATAATAACAAGGAAATCCATTAGCAATTCTGAATCATTGTTACTCCGTCTTGTGACCAATACGGAATAAACGGAGATTTACGCGAACGTAAATTACGCACGCACGTACTGTACCTGGTACGTACGCAGTATACACGTACATGTTAACTGTTAAGTCACATCTGATATAGTATCAGGTATATACATACGTAAGGGCTAAGAATTAGTCATTGCTCCTGCCTTAATGAGAAAGCTTGACTTTAATGATTTTGCCAAGATTTTTTATTAAAATTAAACTTATACATATATACAGTATTACTTTAGAATTCTAGAAATAAGGTTTGGAATTTACCGGTGCATGCGCCAGATCTAATAATATGTACATGTGTTCCAAGATTCTAATTTAACCATATGAGGCTAACTATAAGAAGCCATGATTACTGTATGAGGTAAAAACTATTGTCTCTTTTTAGAACTTGGGTTACTTTGTGTAATCTATTCTTTATGAAATCAATTCTTTATTGTACAGTACTATCATAACTGGTCAAATTACGGAATTTATTTAATTAATTTCCTTAGTCTTTTATTATCCTATTTATATATTTTTTTTTTCGTATGCAAATTATGCAAATAGGGGGTTTCAAAGTTAACAAATAAGTGACGCATTTCGAAAATAAATAGGATTTTTTCAATAGTATTTTTACTATGTTAAGTTATAAATCGGAAAAATAAAATGAGATTCTCTGATTTTAACTTTGAAACCCCCTAATGTACAGATTATTTATTCGCTGAATCTAATGTTTTCTTTGTGTCGGATACAGTGTTCGAAATTTCAAATTTAAAGACAGTTCTCATTCGGACAATATATTAGATTAATTATTAATTTATATTTTCTATTGTTTGACTGACAAAAATATATATTACTTATGAGAACACAAATATTATTTTATTGTGTACAAAAAATTTTTGATGGGGAAGTAGAACATTAATTTCGAACGTAGCAAAGAATTACTGTAGGAAAATCAAAGAAGGATTGTATAGGGGAAGACGATGTAGGATTCACATAGTCCATCAAATTGTTTTGAAAAATAATAATTTGTGTCATTACGTATTGATTTTCACTTAAAAATTTCGTAAACCCTGATGTAAATCTTTTCATTTAAAGACGTTATGCTATAAATTAAGGCTTTTATACAAAATGACTCACTAAAACAGTTCAAAGCAATGGTTTATTAATCTTTATTACTTTGTTAAAATTCTTTATAACATTTAATCACATGCATTTTAAATATATGAAAGTAGGAAATTATAATGACGACCTACTCCGAAAATATCCATTAGGTCAAATCTTTATTATAATAATCTTATTTTGTAAATATTATTTTTTTATTAGATAAACAAACAATGATTCAAGTTTACTTGTCAATTTTGCCAATAGGTTTCACATATACATTTATATTATTAGTCTCCCGATTTGACATAAACTATATTAGGTAACCTTAAAAAAAAAACAAGCAAACCAATTGAAATCTACCGTAATCTTAATGGGTTCAATATGTGCCGTTTTACCGATGATTGTCGTAATTCTGAAAGTATACTATATTTGTATATATATTTTTTTAAGATTTTCTACTTTGGATTTTCTACAGATCTCGCAGTTTCCGCAGTTTCCGCAGTTTTTTTTGATTATATTTGTGTAATCTAAGCATGTAATATAAAACTCGTCTATTTACAGTTACGCACAAATGCAAGAAATTAACTATAAATAAAGTTCGATTAAATTAAATTGATTTTTTTTTTTTTTTAACTTCGAGAAACGAGAACTTTCCTTGCCCTATTATTGTATCGTCGGAAAGTTGTTTTTTTAAAGTTTTGATTTCTCGGGTTATATATATTCTAATTAATTGGTGGTTAGATCAACGTATTTTTTTAAGAACAATTAATCACGTCGATAATATTGTTGATCCGAAAAATCCAAAAAAAAAAAAAATAATATAAAAAAAATTCATCTACGATAATAATAATACATAATAATATTAATATCAATAATATTAAATAAAAATAAAAATTAAAATATATAGTAATAATAATAATAAAATTATTAATATACGTAAGAATAAAAAAAAAAAAGAATTTAATATATAAGGTTTTCAATATTATAAGATTAAGTCAAATATGTCTTCAAATTCACAAGATCTCACTCCTGAACTACAACCACCGTCAGGCGAATCCGTGTCTGATGTCAAAGAGGAGGAAATTAATTTTTCCATAGTCGATGCATTACCACCACAAAACGTTCCTGATGTCAAAGAAGAGGAAATTGACTTTTCTATAGTCGATGCATTACCACCACAAAAAGATGTTGATGAAAAATTGACAAATATAATCGATAATGATGATGATGATTTGAAAAAAGAAAAAAAATTGAATCAAAAGAAACAAAAAGATAATGCTGCTACAGTTTCATTATTTAAATTGTTTAGATTTGCTACTCCTCTTGATGTAATTTATATACTGGTTGGATCTATCGCATCTTTGGTAATTACAATTTGGGGTTTTTTTTAATTCATTATTATTATTATATATATATATATATTTTAACTTTGCGATTATTTTATGCAGGCTTTAGGTGCTGCTATACCTGTCATGACAATTCTCTTCGCCAACTTTATAAATACCTTTTTTGTCTTTGCATATCAACAAAATACTTGCTTCCCAGCATGTAAAGATGCTGCAGTACAACAATTAGATGATAGTGTTAGGGAGAATGCTTTTTACTTTATTGCATTGGGTGTAGGGGTTTTTATTGCTGGATACTTGCAAATGTGTTTATGGATGATAGCTGGTGAACGTCAGGCAAATGTTAGTATTATAAAAAAGTTATTCGCTTTTATCATCAACTTTATTGTTGCATTTTGTTTTAATGTATAAAATCTTTTTTTTTTATAAAGAGACTTAGAACATTATACTATTCTTCAATTCTTCGTCAAGATATCACGTTCTTTGACACAGTATCCACGGGTGACGTCACCACACGTATATCTGCAGATATTTCTCTTTTTCAAGAAGGTATCTCTGAAAAAGTTGGTCAGGTTTTACAATATGCTGCTACGTTCATTGGTGGTTTTATTATTGGTTTTATAAAAGGTTTGATTCTAATTTTAAATAATCTTTCTGCCAAATATAAATTAAATCATTTAATGAATTTTTTTTTTATAATTTAGGTTGGAAATTAACTCTTGTTCTTTGTGCTGTGTTTCCTTTAATGGCTATTGCTGGTGGATTTATGGCAAGAGCTCTTAGCAGAGGCACATCTGAAGGTTCGTTATTTTATTTTATTTTATTTTACTTTTTCTTTTTAGTTCTACATCTTTTAAAAATTTTTTTTTGATAAAACAGGGCAAGGTTCGTAAACCTCTTTACTACAGTAATATACTATTGACTTTTAACTGTTATCATGTCTTGAAATTATTCTTTATTCTTAATATCTTTTTTTTTTCTTTGAAATAAATAGATGCTTATGCTACTGCTGGTGGTGTTGCTGAACAAGTACTTTCTGGTATAAGAACTGTAACTGCTTTTGGTGGTCAAAAACGTGAACTTGAACGTTATACTGCTCAATTAGAGCTTGCATATATTATGGGAAGGAGAAAAGCTTTTGTTACTGGTATTGGTCTTGGTTCCCTTATGTTTATTATGTTTGGCTGTTATGGTTTAGCTTTTTGGTACGGTAGTATTTTAATTGTAAATCTTGAAATGACGGGTGCTGAAATTTTAAACGTTTTCTTTGCTGTTTTTATTGGCGGTGAGTTAATTTATATCTATTTATTACCTTCTTTTTGAAATTATAAATTAATTTTATTATTATTATTATTATTATTATTATTATTATAGCTTTCTCTGTTGGAAATGCTGCCCCTCATCTAACTGCTATGTCAAATGCTATGGGTGCTGCTACTAAATTATTTGAAGTGATTGATCGAGTTCCTTTAATTGATTCAACTTCATCTAATGGTCAAATTATTAAAAAATCTTCTTCACAAGGTCGTATAGAATTTAAAAATGTATCTTTTCATTATCCAACTCGTCCAGATGTTCAAGTTTTAAAAAATTTTAATTTGATTATTGAACCTGGTCAAACTGTTGCTTTGGTTGGTAGTTCTGGAAGTGGAAAATCTACAATTATTAGTTTATTAGAAAGATTTTATGATCCTGCTAGTGGTTCTATATTATTTGATGGTGTAGATATTAAGGATATTAATATTAAATCATTAAGAACTCAAATTGGTTTAGTTGGTCAAGAACCTGTTTTATTTGCCGAAACTATTAAAGTTAATATTGGATGGGGTGGTGATCCAATGGAATCTGAACCTACTTTGGATGATATAATAGAAGCATGTAAAAAATCAAATGCTCATGATTTTATAGATGAATTACCTAATAAATATGATACGATCGTAGGAGAAAAGGGAAGTTTACTTTCAGGTAATTTTATTTAAACATTATTTTTCTTTAAAGAAAGTTAATCATTTGTTAATGTTAACTATTATATATTCATATCACTATTACGTATATCAGGTGGGCAAAAACAACGAATTGCTATTGCCAGAGCTTTGATCAAAGATCCACGGATATTATTGTTAGATGAAGCTACTTCTGCACTTGATACTGAATCTGAACGACTTGTTCAAGAGGCATTGGATAATGCTGCTACTAATAGAACAAGGTATTTTTTTTTTGTCCTTTCTAATAATAATAATATTACATTTTTGTATTCACACATATCAATTATATAGCATCATAATAGCACATAGATTATCAACTATTAAACATGCTGATAAAATAGTTGTTATGAAAAAAGGTGAAATAGTTGAAATTGGACGTCATGATGAATTAATTGAAAAACAAGGTGTATATTTTGGCCTTGTTAGAGCTCAAGAATTAGAAACTCAAAAAACTGTAAAAAAAACTAATGAAGATGATGAAGATGAAGAAGAAATTAGTTCAACTAGTTCTAATGATGATACTGCAGTAATAATAGATGAAAAGAGACATAAATTACATTTAAGAAAATTGTCTACCAAAGGATCAACTATAAAATCTATGAAGACAAGTGAAGAAATTATAAAAGAAGATATGGAAAAGAAATTATTACAAAAAATGCCATTGACAAGAGTCTTTAGATTATGTAAACCCGAATATGGATTGATGTTCATTGGTTGTATTGGTGCTGCAGGTATGTTTATACGTATAATTAGCGTTAGTTAAATTTTTCATATACCTTAATTATTGCGTTTCACAATGAACTAATAAATTATATTAATTTAAAAAAGTGAATGGTTCTATTATGCCCTTATTCAGTTTGGTGTTTTCTTCTATCCTTGATGCTTTCTCACGGACTGATCAGTAAGATTTTCATGCATTAATTTATTTGTTAATTTTTATAACAATTTTTATTTAATTAATTATAATTTTATAAATAGACTTAATGAACTTCAACAAGCTGCAAATTTTTGGTCTATGTGTTTTGCAATATTGGCTGTTGTTGCTTTAGTAGCAAACTTTTCCCAAATGTCAATGTTCACGTTAGCTGGTGAACGTCTTACAAAACGCCTTAGAAAATTAACTTTTGAAGCTTTATTAAGACAAGAAATCGCATATTTTGATGATGAAAAAAATGGTACTGGTGTATTAACTTCAAAATTGGCTGTAGACGCAACAAAAGTTGAAGGGTTGAGCGGTGGTATGATGGGAGTTGTAATACAAAATATTTGCAATGTAGCAGTTGGATTTGTAAGTATTGAAAAGTACTTTCCTTTTTGTAAAAAAAAAAGATGATTTTAGGCGTTAAACAAATATTTATTTAATTTAGGGGCTTGCCTTTGGTTTCGGTTGGAAACTGACCTTAGTCATTCTTGCTGCTTCACCTGCCGTTGTAATAGCTGGCTTTTTAGAAATGAGAGCGATGACTGGTTTCGGTTCAAAGGTAATTAATACTACAGTATATTTGTAATTTTATTTTTTTTATATTATTCATTATCATCTAATTAAAATCCTATAATTAATTAACTTTATTAGACACGTACAGCATATGAAGGAACTGGCCAAATAGTTCAACAAAGTGTTTCTAACATGAGGACAATTGCATCATTAACTAGAGAAGAAACCTTCAAAGCTACATATCAAAGTGCTCTAAGAGAACCACACAAAATCGCAATTAAGGGAAGTTTGATATCATCATTTGGATTTGGTACATCTCAAGGAATTTTGTACTTTATTTGGTCATTAGCATTTTGGTATGGTTCAAAATTGATCGAAACAGAAGAATATGATTTACAACGAATGCTTCGAGTTATGTTTGCTGTTGTGTTTACAGCTGTTTCTCTTGGACAAATGTCGTAAGTTAGCATACAATATACATCATAATTTCAGATTAATACTGTATTATAATTAATTAATTTATTCATTTATTATTATTTTAGTACATTTGCACCAGATGTCGCAAAAGCAAAAGTCGCAGCTCTTTCAATCTTTGAAATTTTAGATAGAAAATCTACAATAGATCCCACTGATAATGAAGGTAAAGACCGCCCTGCACCAATATTAGGAGATTCTTCATTTCATTCGGTTTATTTCAATTATCCTGCTCGCCCAAATATACCAATCCTTCGAGGTTTGGACTTGTCAATATATTCTGGAAAAACTATCGCACTTGTTGGATCATCGGGTTCAGGGAAATCGACAGTTATTTCGTTATTATTAAGGTTTTATGACGTAAATTCTGGAGAAATTGAAGTTGAGGGTGTTAATGTAAATCAATGGAATTTAGAGTATTTAAGAGCGAATATGGCATTAGTTGGACAAGAACCTGTGTTATTTGATTTAACTATCGAACAGAATATTGTATGTATTCTTAATTATCTTCAATTACTTAAAATTTTTAATATTCTTTGTCTGACCTTGTTTTTTTTTTATTCTTGAAGGCATATGGAAAAGAAGGTTGCACTAGAGAAGAAATTGAAGAAGCTGCGAAAGAAGCCAATATTCATAACTTTATTTCAGCATTACCGGATGGGTATAACACTCGTGTAGGTGAAAAAGGAACACAACTTAGCGGTGGTCAAAAACAGGTTAATAAATTTTTGTTGAAATATTTTTTGTGCATAATATACATAGCATAGATTAAACTTTTTTTGTATTTTTTTAGAGAGTGGCAATAGCACGAGCTCTTATTCGTTCTCCGAAAATTTTATTACTTGATGAAGCAACTTCAGCACTGGACTCTGAATCTGAAAAGGTTGTACAGAATGCATTGAATAAAGCCAGTAAAGGTTCGTATTGTCAACTTTAATTTATACTGGTCAACAAAATCAATAAACATGAATTTTTTTTTCTTCTGATTTAGGTCGCACAACACTTACAATAGCTCATCGATTATCGACAATTCAAAATGCAGATTTAATCTTGGTTTGCAAAAAGGGTAAAGTTGTTGAATCTGGTAAACATTTTGATTTAATAAATCAAAAAGGATTATATTATGAATTGGTTAACAAGCAAACTTTGATAAAGAAAGACAAATGATTGAGGGTGTGGTATAATAGATAAACATATAAACAATAAATATTAAAGGAACGTTATGAAAAATAATGGTTAAATTTTTTTTAAGGTTAATAGTAATTTCTTTTTATAATAATATGGAAAATTGAACTGCATATATTTAATAAATAAATGGTTTAAACGCGTATCGTATAAAAATGCCTTCAGTTTCTAAATTAATCACCTGATCACTCGTAACGAGAATCTGTATAATTTTTTTTTTTACAAATTCCAAAGATTCCAATTTTCTAGGGTAGTTGAAACTCAAATTGCTAAAGGATCTACTCTAAATTTTTGGGAAGACGCGTTTTTTTTTTTGTTTCAGGGTTGGGCTAGGCCTTGGAATCATAAATACTATTGAAAGTATATATGCTAGAAATAACATTATTAGCCTCGAACTCAGCTTTTTGGACTCCAAGCTTAGAAATTCATTGTCTCAATGAGGCCAAACGGAGAGAATAGATTATATATCATATTGTTTATTTAAATATATCGATATAAATAATGGTCTTCATCAAAAAATGTTGTTTACCAAAATCAAACAATAAAATCCTGAAATGCAAGTAAAAATATTCATGTGTACAAAATCGAACCACTAGTGCCATTCTTGAAATCTAAATGTTTTCCTGACTTATCTTCGCACAGAGGAGAGTTACCTTTTGATTTTTGGTGGCGACCTTCGTGGTGATGAAATAGTTGATGTTACAGAACTTTGATGTTTCAGATATAATCGATAATATTTTCGCAATTAGGTTTTCCTTGTTAAATTGATTGAATCCTTCACAGATCTTATGGTCCCTTAATTATTTATCGAGGGCAGAATCTGGTCAGCCTGTTTCAAATGTCCAATTTCGATCAATTTTTTTTTAATTATGCAACTTTATCATCAGTTTTCACGTATGTTTGTAGCTCTGTGCTACATCTTCTCCAGAAAGATAAAATATTAGTAACATCCCAGCAGCAACTAGCTAAAAAATGTAAGTATACTTATAAAACACCCCATAAATCATATTTTACTGTATAGATATAATCTCGCATACATATGATCTAGTAACTTGGTGGTGACGAACGAAGGGGTCGTTTAAAGCAGGGTGCAATCACGTGATTAGCCGATCATCAATATAGGTCCGGAAGGTCGGTCATAAGGTCGGAGAACCGGTTTATATTTTATATGTTAAACCCGGTATTAATCGGTTAACATATTAAAAATAAAACCGGTTCCATCAAAATAAACCTAAACTCAATAATAAC